ATTTTCATACACCCCCTTTTTCCCTTTGCCTCCATAGAAAATTTTTTTTTTTGTCTCCCAATCCCCTCAGCACACCCTCCCCTTTTTTCCTTCTAAATTCAGGGGCTAACCTCATCCTCAAAACCCCATTTGCTGAAACCCAACCCCCCAAATATTGAAAAAAATTCACTTTTTCCATACTCCCTTTTCCCCAATGTGTTTACCAATTTTTTTTTTAAATTCTAATTTTTTTGATACCTTCAAAACCCTTAATTTTAATCTATGGTCATTTTAAAAACTTTTCCCCTTTAAAAAACCCCCCCAAATTTTTGGTTCCCATCCCCCTTTGAAACCCTTTTCCCCTTAAAAAATTCCCCTTTTAAAGAAAGGGAAACCCATCAAATTAAAAAAAGATCGGTGTAAAACTTTAAATTTTTTTGGTACTTGTTTCCCCATGTTTTAAACCCCCCATCCTCCCCCAAACCCCCCAAAGAAATTTACTCTTTTAAAACCCCCATCCAAAAATACTTAGTCTTAAACAAAATATGGGACATTAAAAAATCCCCGGTCTAAAGCCCTCCCTTTCCCCCCAAAATTTTAAATCTTTCCCCCTTACCCCCCAACCGGTCCCTTATCCTTTTAAATCGACATTTTTAAATTTTTCCTAAAAAATATTCCCTCCCCAATACCCCCAGCCCCCAAAAATTTTTTTATAAACCCCCCCTACCCCCGTTTTTTAATTGACCAAATTCATTTGGACCCTGGGTTTTTCCTTAAGGGTTTCCCCTCATAAAGAAAATTTTTTATTTTCCAGAAAATTTTTTTTTGAGTGGGTTGCCTCCCCCCAACTTAAAATTTGGTTTCCCTTTGGGAAAAACCCTTTTTCAAATTTTTTTTCCCTCCCCCGAAAACCCCTGGTTCCTATAAATTTCCCCCCTGTTTGGGCTAAACCCAACCCCCCCTAATACCACGCAAACCTTTTTCTCTTTTTTTCAACCTTAAAATTCTTCCTTAATTCCACCCAATTTCCCCCCCTTTTTCCCCCCTGACCCACCCCCCCCTAAAAACCCAACAAAAACTTTTTTTTGCCCCACATTCTAATACGGCAATTTTTAAAAAACTTTTTCCCAACCCTCTTCAACCCCCCCCACTACCATACTTGCTTTAGTCCCCTTTCCCCAAAATAGTCTGCTTTTGTACCCCTTTAACCCTTTCCTCCTCCATTATTTTATAAAACATTTCCCTTCTCCGTTACCCGCGGAACTTTTGGGGTTATTTAAAATCTACCTTTTTTTCCCCCAAAATTTTCCCGAGGAAAAGGGGTTTCAATTTACGGGTTAAGGTCGAGGGGACAACTGTCAAAAAATGGATACTGGAAAAACCTTTTCATTTGACCAATTTTTTTGTGGATTGAGTTGTTATAAACTAAAAAACAATAAGGAAAATTTAATTGAACCCTTTTGAAGGGGTAACGGATGGCTGTTTAAGCTTCTTTGTTTTAATGTTCTCAAAACATACAGTATGTTTATGCCCTGGGAATTTTTAAAAAAAAAAAATTTTTTGCATAATAATTTTTTTTGTAAAAAGAGTATCTAAAAAAAAGGCCCCAAAAAAAGACCGTGCTTCTATATATTAAAAAAAGCCTTAAGGGGGTCCCTTGAGGGCCAGTGAAGGACTTTGATAAAGGAAAAATTGGAGTTTTCCCCCCTTTCCCTTGGGACAAACTTGTTTAAACCCCCCTTCCCTTCAGGGGGGAAGGCCAAATAAAGGTTTTTCATTTCCCTTTGAATAGAATTTTGAAAACCTTTTCCTTTTAATTCTTTAAAAACAATAAACAAAAAACCAAAAACCCCCCCTAATTTTCAACAATTAAAAAAATTAATTAAAAACCAAAACCCTAAAAAAATCTTTACAACGGGAATCCCCTTTTAAACTTAAAATTTTTAAAAACCCCAAATCAATTTAAAAATTTTAAATCAAAAAAACCTTTTCTTCCTTAACCAAAATTCCCTTTTTCAATAAACCCTACCAAATAAATCCCCAAACCCTTTCATATCTAAATAAAACCCTTTCCCCCAAAAAACAAATACCCCAACCTTTTAAACTCTTGGGTAAAAATTTTCAATTTTTCCCTTCCCCCTCTACACCCTTTAATAAACCCCAAAAAATACCACTAACCCACAAACTAAAAATTAAAATTTCCCCCAAAACCAAACTATTCCCCTTATCTAAAAAACCCCAAAAACCCCCCCAAACAAAAAAACATATTCCCCAACCAAAAACCCAAAAAAAACCACTCATAAAAACTTCCAAAAATTAACCTCAAAAAAACTTTCAACACCCCAACAATAAAAAAATAAAACCAACAAAAATCACAATCAACTTATTCCAAATTATCCCCTCAACTAACCACATCACCCACAACCCTACCACCCCAAAAAACCCCCAACCCAAAAAAAAAAAACCCCCATTAAATTTTTAACCCCCCCTTTTTTTTTTTTTTTTCTTTTTTTTTTTTTTTTAAATACCCTTTCCCCTTTTTTTAAACTATTTTTTTTTTTTTGTTTTTTTTTTTTTTTTAAAAAATTTTTTTTGTTTAAAATTTTTTTTTCCTTTTTCCCCTTTTTTTTTTTTGGGGGGGGGGGGGGGGGGGGGCCCCCCCCGGCCCCCCCCCCCCCCCCCAAAAAAAAGGGCCAAATTTTCCCCTTTTTAAAATTTTAAGTTAAATTTTAACAGGAGAAGGGTTTAACAAAACCCCCCCTTGTTCAGAAAATTTTTGGGCCCCCTCTTACAACACGCAGGGGGCTTAAATGGGGGGAAAAGGAATTGGGGGGTTCCCCACTTCCCAAATTAAAAAAAATAAAACCCCCAAGAACAAGAACTGGGCAAAAAGGGGGAAAACCCAAGGGGGTGGTATTATTTGCGGGGCCAAAGGTGAAGGAACAGTGAAGAGGCCAGAATGATTGGGGCCGGGAAAATTTTGCTTTTTTAAAACAGAAAAGACAAGCCAAACCTTTTTTCCTTGGAAATTCCCAAGTATTTTTTTTTTCAACAAGGGGGTTCCAACAGGAAATTTGGGAAAAAGAAAACTTTTCCAACAAAAATTCCCCTCCCCAACCCCTTGGGGGGAAGGTCTTTTTACATACAAAAACGGGAAATTTAACAACCCCTTTTTTCGGGTGCAGGGCCTGTTTTTGGGATTTAAACCCAAAAGCGGTGGGTTTTAAAACCCTTTTCAAAAAATTTTAATCCCCCACCCCAAACCAGATGTGTTTTAAAAAATTTTGGTTTCCACTTTAAAATTTTGGAAAAGCATTTATATTTGTTCCCGTCTGGGAAAAAACCTAAAAATTATGTTTTGGTTCAGGGTTCACCTCCTTCGAAAAGATTTTTTATTGGGGGAAATGGAAAAGTTATGTTTTTGGGATTTAAAATTAAAGAATAATTTAATTTGGGTAAAAAAAAATTAATTAAACTAAAAGAAAAAAAAAGGAAAGTTTGGTTCAAGGGGGTTATTTTTAAAGGGAACCATAAAAAATTTTGTTATTCTGGAAAAAATGGGTTTTTGGGGTTTGGATTTCCCAAATTAAAATTACAAAAAATTTTGATTATTTAAATAAATTCCCCTCGCTTTAAAAATGTTTCCAGCCTTTCTTTTGAAAATAAATGGTTTCCCCAATTAAAAGAGGTTTGGGTAAAACTATACTCTCTACATTCCCCCTTTTTCCCCCAAGGACAAGTTCTTTGTCTCCACAACTCCAAATGCACCACTCACCCTTTTTCCCCTCAAAATTAATTTCCCCCCTTTTTTCAAAACCCCAACCGGGGCATGCCCACCCCCAAAATATCTTTTCCATTCACCATTTTCCATCCTTTCTCCCCCCAATCTGAATCAAATTTTCTTTCACCAAATTTTTTTGTTACCCCTCATAACCTTACTTTTTCCTGTTTCATTTTTAAATTTTTCTTCTTTTTGCACACCCCCCAAATTCATTCCCCCCCCAACCAAATCTCCCTAAACTCCTCTTCGAATCCCCAAACCCACGGTTGGTAAAATCAGAAAGAGAAAACGTGAAAATCCCACTTTTATGTGTGATTCTTTATCTTTTTTGGCCAAAACCCCGTTTTAATTCAAACCCCCCCAAAGGTATTAACTTTTCAACTAAACCAAAAAAATACCCACAATTTTAATTAAAACAACAACTAACACAAAACCCCTTTTTCCCAGGCCCCCCCTTTTACTGCGAAAAATAAATTTTTCCCCCTTCCTTTTTCCCAAAAAATACTTTTTAAACTTTGAGCCTCACTAACCTATAAAAAACTCTTAACAAGGCTTTCAAAAAACCTCCCTCCTACCCCCCTCCCCAACCTGAAAAATTTTCCCCTATCCACCCTTTCAAAACCCTTTTCCAAATCCAAAAAATCCCAAAAAACCTTTTTTCCCTTATCTAAATATTTTTCCCTTATAAGTTTCATTTTAAAAAACCTGTCCACCCCCCCCTCCTTTCCAAAGCCCCTTGTTCACTGTACCCCTATTCTCCATTTTAAACCTTTTAAATTTCTTTAAATTTAATAACTCGCATACATTTTTTTTAACCGGGGGGTTTTATAAACCCGATTTAACCCCCCTATAATTTTTTCCCCTTTTGCCCCCTTTCCCTTTATAAAAAGGGAAAAACTATGCATGCTCCCCCCAACCCCAGGTCCTTACCCTTTCCCAAAACAATTTTAAAATAATTAAAACCAACCACCCCAAACCCCCTAAAACCCTCCCCCTGTTTTTTAACATTTCTTTTTTTCCCCTATCAACCCCCGGCTGCCTTCCCCCCTTTTCATTTTACCTACTGCCTCATGAACTTCCCCACACTCACAACTGGCTCTTCCTCACCCCTACAAGATGTTATTCCTCCTTGCCTATACACGAAATCACAGCTTCCCTATCTTCATCAACATTTAACAATTCCTCAAAATATTCCCTCCATCTTCCCAATACCTCTACTCTCCATTTAATAACTCTTATTTTTAACTGACAAATCCATTTGTTCTCTAGGCTTCCTTAACTTGTTAATCTCACTCCAAAACTTTTTCTTATTTTCAACAAAATTTGTTGATAACATCTCACCCACTCTCTCATTTGCTCTCTTTTTACATTGCTTCACCACTCTCTTTTTCTCCATATATTCTTCCCTCCTTGCATCACTTCTACTTTGTAAAAACTTCTCATATGCTAACTTTTTCTCCCTTACTACTCTCTTTACATCATCATTCCACCAATCGCTCCTCTTCCCTTCCACACCCACTTTCCTGTAACCACACACTTCTGCTGAACACTCTAACAAGTACAGGCTTCCATTTTACACTCACTTGGCAGGATGGTAGTACCTCCCTGGGCAATTGCTGTCTACCAACCTACTACCTAGAACTTTTAAATTTATGGGCAAAATTCATTGGTAAAATTGTACATTTATCTTCCTTATTTTCAGTGTTTATTGCAGTACACTGTATCTGTAAACTGTGTACACTATTAGGTGTAGAGTGCCTTAGTGCATTTTATTTTTATTGTTATTCTGATTTAACATTACAGCCTCTTCTCACTTAACGACGGAGTTCCGTTCCTAAGATCACATTGTTAAACGAATTCGTCACTAAGTGAGGAGCATACTATAAAGGTAGTGAGTGTGTCAACCATCTTTCATATTGTTTTAATGTCACCCTTGCACCATTTATAACATTTCTGGTATATTTTTAAATGTTTATACAGTAATGTACTGTATACTGAAATAAACAGAATAAGAGGAAATCAGCCCTAATATACATTATTTAAGTATGAATACTGGTCAGAGAGACTGTTGCAAGTCCGAGGAGTCGGTAAACGAGTACGTCGCTAAGTGAAGAGAGGTTGTATTTTGATCGAAAGGATACTTGGACAATCCTTTCTTTCTATTAGTCTGTTTTATCAAGGGTTTACTGTATGTCTAAATATGTATTTATGCACAACTCATGTTTTATCATTTGATGTTTCACTGTGGTAGTTTGTGAAACAAAGAAAATGTAATACTTGCCAGTCAAAGAGCTCATGGTATTGATAGATGAATAGTACTATGAAATATATATTTTATTTGCTCTATCTGAACAATACACCATAACTGTGGGGGGCCACAGTACTCAGTAAGCAGCAAACATGAATATAGTATATTTACATGCATTTCAGTTGTGTATAATTTACTTTTTATATAAAAATATGATTTGGAATATGCATCATATACAGTATAACATGATTGTTTTATTCATCCCAATAATGTTCACACTGTGGCTCCCAGATATTGAACATCTGTTCTGTCTTACCATGAGACTTTATGGCTAAATATAAACCTGGCACACAAATGCAAAGATGCTGAACCAATATAAATCGTTACTTGGTATTTTGATTTAACCTGCTAAGATTTGTGTGTAAATTTATGCTTTGCTGAGTTGACTGCACAGCAGTATATTTTTATTGAGCCCAGTTTAAGGGTTAAGTAAATATGCTAATGTTGTTCTTATTTTATTTACATATATCAGTTTCTATTACAGGTTGACCATCACTAATTCGGCATCATCAGGACCTGTAGGGTGCTGGATTAATGATTTTGACGGATTACAGAGTGGTTAGGTTAGAATACATTTCAACCGATCAGCAATATTTACGCACTGGCAATTTCACCCGCTTTATGCCCTATTTTTGGTCCATTCCATTGTTCCAGTCTACCAAACTCATAGCTATTTCATTAGTATTCCTTCTATTTTGTCAATTGAGTACAAGAAACTGCCCATTTACCTATTTCAACTACCCAATAAAGTGGTCAGAAATTGGTAATTTGGCTAATTTCACACAAATTTCAAAATAGGGTCCAGAATAAACAATGCAGACATTCCTGGCACTAAAATAACATTTTCTCTGTTCATTAGTCACATCTCCAGGCCCCTCTTATATTACACTTGCTTTCCATTTTGAATTTTTATTCACACAAAAAGCAGAAGATTTAGTGTTATACAGACTACTGCATTATCATAATAATTGTATAAATAATGTCAACCCATTTGTGACTGTATTAGACCTGCCAGTTGGACACGTATCGTTTACTCTTGAACGTTGGCAAAAATCAAACATTTCCACTACTTTGAGCTCAATTTCAACTTGTCGGTTTTCAAAACCATTCATCACATCTGTCAGACACTGCAACATCATGGTATCTTGGTACAAAGACTTCAAAGCTTGTCCAACCTTTGGACGAAGACCTACTTACACTAGTGGCAGGTCCCACTGTGATCCCGTCTCCTGCTTCGACTCATCTGACAGTATATAAGCCACCTCTCTGGCCCCATGCTGTACTTCCTACAAGAGTGATGGACTGAACACATCGATTCCAGGTCGAGGGACTGATTACCTCAAACTCCTCCTCTCCTTACCCATTTCTACTTTGCACTGGACTGATGAAGCCACTGTGTGGCGAAACATTTCTTCAATAAAGATTCCCATATGTTGCATAAGTGTCTCAATTCTTCAACTTGTCGGTTTTCAAAACCATTCATAACAAGGTACTTTCCATTGTGTAACCAATCAAAATTATATCTATTTCTGTAATATATCTTCCATTCTATCAATGAGACCCAAAAAATGAGAATACAACCATAAAAACCATACAAAAATACACAGCAAAGTTGCAATCGACAGTGGCTTCAAAGCCACCTTATCTTTTTTGGACAAAGTAAGGTGTATGTGCTTTACACAATGAGAATCATTTGTTTTATTCGTTGGAACCATGGCTAGGGCTAAAAGTGAGCAGGTTATAAAAATAAATGGAGAAAAAGAAATTGGAATGACTTATGCGGCAAGTAGTGCCACCCAATAGCAGTGGCAGGTAGTTGTGGCGACCCTGGAAATTTGAAATTATGCTAGCCAAAAATTAGTGCCGGATTACTGATGAACCAGATTACTGATTGATGGATTAGTGATGGCCAACCAGTGTAAGTTTATTTACAAATATCAGGTAATACAGTGTAACTCGTGTCTATATACATATTACTAAAAAAATTTTTTATCTTTAAGCTGTGTAAAATGTTGCTCATGCACGGAACTTCATAAGTGATATTGTAAAAATTATTCTGGGTATTTGTAATCAATTATTATTATACAACACACTTGTAACAAAACATTACCTGTAATATGTCCTGATCTGTACCTAAGTGTTGTTATCCACAGCTTGGTGATATCACCCATATCATTTACAACCCAAAGAATTTTTTTTTTTTAACTCAACAGCCATCTTCTGCCAAGGCAGATTGACTCAATGATGAAAACACATTCACCATCATTCATTCAACTGCTGTCTTTCCAGAAGTGTGCTGACATCACAATCAGATTACCTGCTGACTGCAACATCCCCACTCCTCCTTCAGAGTGCAGGCACTGCTCTTCCCACTTCCAGGACTTGTCTTGAACTGGTTTCCCCTGAATCCATTCATAAAGGCTACCTTGCTCATATTCCAACAGCATATCCATTAGAACTCACTCATTTCCATTTGTGCCTATCCAACATGCTCTCATAAGCCTGTTGGATGTTCAAGGTCCTACAACTCAAAGCCTCTTTTACCCGCTCCCTCCAATCATTCCTGGGACAACCCATATCTTTCTCAATATGTCCCTCCCCATCCTTGAACCACCTTGACAACCCTTCTTCAGCCCTCTTAACTATACCCTTAGTGCCCCCACATTGCCTTTTCATTTCTACACTGAATTCTCTGCATGATATTCACATCACACAATGCTTTCAAACATGGCATCTCTGCTGCCTCTAGCCTTCAAATTAAAACATTTTTATTGCCAGGGCTTGTTTTCAAATAAAACTGCTGCCATAGCCATTGCTGTATCTGTATTCCAAACTACATACAGTATATATACTGGTGCATACATTCAGAATATAGGATACACTATTTGATTGTTTTTTATCAAAACACTGTTTTACTAATTTCTTGTACTGTATGATTTCATTAGTGCATTTAAAATGTACTGAACTTCTGGTATTTCCTGTGGTTCACCATATTTGGTTTGTAATGAGATCCCTAAGTGTATAATACTTAAATTTTACTGTACTTAAGCAAGAATGACATTTTATTCCACAATAAGAAATCTTCTTTCAACACACCGGCCGTATCCCACCGAGGCGGGGTGGCCCAAAAGGAAAAACGAAAGTTTCTCCTTTTACATTTAGTAATATATACAGGAGAAGAGGTTACTAGCCCCTTGCTCCCGGCATTTTAGTCGCCTCTTACAACACGCATGGCTTACGGAGGAAGAATTCTGTTCCACTTCCCCATGGAGACAATAAGAAATATATCCAATATAAAAATACAACTCCGAGTATGGCCTACAACTAAGGCACTGTAGCTCACTAAGTAAAAGACCTTAAAATACAATTTCAATCATCTTGGTCATCTTTTACTCCTAATTCTACCTTTTGTATGCTTGTCAGATGTGTGTTGCACATTATTAGCTGCTAATGTAATTTGTGTTATGTCAGCACAGATGGGTGGAGGTTTCCCAGAATAGACCCCAGGTTCATCAGGTGGGGTATGTGGTCGAGGCCTCGGTTTGGTGCGACCCTTTCGTCTGAAATAAACATTTTGTAAGAAAATATAACTATTAATACTGTATTTCTTTAACAATGGAAAAAAAAAAGACCTGTACCTTTTTGTATCTGTTGTGGATTGAATTGAAATGCCATGCCTGCTAAACTCTTCCTGTATTCATTAGTGAAGATGTAAATTAATACACTGGAATACAATACCTAATTGCTTTCTTAATGCCAAAAGAATTATAAACAACCCTTGTGGCAGTTTACATACCACTTGACAGATTTATAATAAAAATATTATTTTTTTAAAAACAACAGTGTTAAAAGCAATGTACTTTACACACCTGAGATGATCCCTTCTTGACTAAGGCCATATTTAGAAATATCCATTAGCTTCTCAATTTGTTTCAGAGGCCATATATTTTAAATACAGGTCTCCCTCAACATTCATGTTTTCAACTTTCACGGGCTTCACACATTCGCGAATTCCCAACCGCCAAATTCCCAGCCGCCAAATCATATTTAAGTTTCCCGCCGCCTGCGAGTCCCTACTACCCTCCCTCCGACCCCCGCAACTGGCAGCCAGCCCTCCCACCACTCAGTGTGGTGAGTGTTTTGTTTGTTCATTATTTGCTATTAAACTACAGTATAAATAATGTAAACCCATTCATGACTGCATATTGGAATGGCTATTCGGACAGGTATTGGAAGGTGACATCATGTGTTTACTCTTGAACACAGCAAAGAATCGAACATTTCTGCTACAGCTCATAATAACAATAGTAATAATAATAATAATAATAATAATAATAATAATAATAATAATAATAATAATAATAAATATAATATAATTGAAGAAGGAAATTGTACAAAAATACGAGGGAGTGGTTGACACATCGTCAGTGTGACTTTGTTTATGCTGGAGTAAACATTAGTCTCCCTGCTCTTCCAAACATTTCACAACAATTCATTGTGTTTGGTGCTTGTAGATTGAGTGTGACTGGAGTGGTAGAGGCAGTGATTGAGGCAATGGTATTTAATAACATACATGTTAATAATAATACATGTTATTAATAATATGTACTATTATTATTTATAACATGTATGTTATTAAATACATACATGTTAATAATAATAATACATGTTATTAATAATAACATGTACTATTATTATTTGTAACATATATGTTATTAAATACCACTGCCTCAGCTGCTGAATTATTGTGAAATGTTTGGAAGAGCAGGGAGACTAATGTTCACTCCAGCATAAACAAAGTCACACCGACGATGTGTCAACCACTCCTTCGTATTTTTGTACAATTTCCTTCTTCAATTATATCGTATTTATTATTATTATTATTATTATTATTATTATTATTATTACTATTGTTATTATTAGCTGTAGCAGAAATGTTCGATTCTTTGCTGTGTTCAAGAGTAAACACATGATGTCACTGTCTAATACCTTTCCTAATAGCCATTCCAATATGCAGTCATGAATGGGTTTACATTATTTATTCTGTAGTTTAATAGCAAATAATGAACAAACAAAACACTCACCACACTGAGTGGTGGGAGGGCTGGCTGCCAGTTGCGGGGGTCGGAGGGAGGGTAGTAGGGACTCGCAGTGGTGGAGGCATTGGAGGAGTCTGTGGTATTTAATAACATACATGTTATTAACATACATGTTATTAAATAACATACGTTATTAAAGCATAACATGTATATATTTAGTACAATTTACGACGTTTTCATGTATTTTATGATTATTCATGATTCAACAAGTTAAGGAAGCAGTATTGTAATACATTTCCCTACAATATATTGGGGCACCAAACATTCACGGTTTTTCAACATTCGCAAGGCTCTTGATCCCCTAACCCTCGCGAATGTTGAGGAAGACCTGTATTGCTCCAACCATTTTAATATTGAGGTTGATAAGAAATATCATATACAAAGAGAAATGTGGATATGGAAAATCCAATGACCCCATTTTAAACGAAATCCTATGGTTGGGTTTTGACTGAGAAGATAAAAGAGAGTGAAAAATTATAGGGGAATAAGTCTGGTAAAGTGCATGGTAGAGTTATTATTGAAAGAGTTAAGAGTAATACAGAGAGTAGGATAGCAGATGAACAAGGAGGCTTTAGGAAAGGTAAGGGGTGTGTAGACCAAGTATTTACAGTGATACATACAGGTGAACAGTATTTAGATAAAGGTAAAGAGGTTTTTGTGGCATTTATGGATATATAAATGGCATATGACAGGGTGGATAGGAGGGCAATGTGGCAGATGTTGCAGGTGTATGGTATAGGAGGTAGGTTACTGAAAGCAGTGAAGAGTTTTTACAAGGATAGTGAGGCTCGGGTTAGAGTATGTAGGAGAGAGGGAGATTATTTCCCAGTAAAAGTAGGCTTTAGACAAGGATGTGTGATGTCACCGTGGTTGTTCAATATATTTATAGATGGGGTTGTAAGAGAAGTGAATGCTAGGGTCTTGGCAAGAGGTGTGGAGTTAAAAGATAAAGAATCAAACACAAAGTGGGAGTTGTCACAGTTACTCTTTGCTGATGACACTGTGCTTTTCGGAGATTCTGAAGAGAAGTTGCAGAGGTTGGTGGATGAATTTGGTAGGGGATGTAAAAGAAGAAAATTAAAAGTGAATATAGAAAAGAGTAAGGTTATGAAGGTAACAAAAAGATTAGGTGACAAAGGACTGGATATCAGACTGGAGGGAGAGAGTATGGAGGAGATGAATGCATTCAGATATCTGGGAGTGGACGTGTCAGCAGATGGGTCTATGAAGGATGAGGTGGATCACAGAACTGATGAGGGGAAAAGGGTGAGTGGTGCACTTAGGAGTCTGTGGAGACAGAACTTTGTCCGTGGAAGCTGGTCCAGTGGCTAACGCGATGGTCTGAAGTTTTCAGACTCTCTGATCGCGGGTTCTATCCCTGCATGTGGTATGGTTTGTTTGCAATTGTGTCATTACGATTTCGTGAGGCAGGAATGTATGAGAGTGTAAGTGTACCAACACTCTTGTATGAGTGTGAAGTATGGGTGATGAATGTTGCAACGAGGAGATGGCTGGAGGCAGTGGAGATGTCATGTCTGAGGGCAATGTGTGATGTGAATATAATGCAGAGAATTCGTAGTTCGGAAATTAGGAGAAGGTGTGGGAATACCAAAATTATTTTCCAGAGAGCTGGGGAGGGGTTGTTGAGGTGGTTCAGACATACAGAGAGAATGGAACAAAACAGAATGACTTTGAGACTGCATAAATCTGTAGTGGAGGGAAGGTGGGGTAGGGGTTGGCTTAGGAAGGTTTGGAGGGAGGGGGTAAAGGAGGTTTTGTGTGCGAGGAGCTTGGACTTCCAGCAAGCATGCATGAGTGTATTTGATAGAAATGAATAGAGACAAATGGTTTTTAATACTTGATGCGCTGTTGGAGTGTGAGCAAAGTAACATTTATGAAGGGATTCAGGGAAACCGGCAGGCCGGACTTCAGTCCTGGAGATGGGAAGTACAGTGTCTACACTCTGAAGGAGGGGTGTTAATGTTGCAGTTTTATAACTGTAGTGTAAATCACCCCTCTGGCAAGACAGTGATGGAGTGAATGATGATGAAAGTTTTTCTTTTTCGAGCCACCCTGCCTTGGTGGGAATCAGCTGATGTGTTAATAAAAAAATAATAATAAATGATAATCCCTCCAAAATGCCAATATCCCAAACCCCTCCTCTTAAAGTGCAGGCATTGTACTTCCCATTTCCAGTACTCAAGTCCGGCTATATAAATATGTATATATATATATTTTTTTAACAAGTGGGCCATCTCCCACCGAGGCAGGGTGACCCAAAAAGAAAGAAAATCCCCAAAAAGAAAATACTTTCATCATCATTCAACACTTTCACCTCACTCACACATAATCACTATTTTTGCAGAGGTGCCCAGAATACAACAGTTTAGAAGCATATACATATAAAGATACACAACATATCCCTCCAAACTGCCAATATCCCGAACCCCTCATTTAAAGTGCAGGCATTGTACTTCCCATTTCCAGGACTCAAGTCTGGCTATATAAAAATAACCGGTTTCCCTGAATCCCTTCACTAAATATTACCCTGTTCACACTCCAACAGCTCGTCAGGTCCCAAATACCATTCATGCATGAGCGCATTCGACAGGAGTGAATCTCCTATATAACACGCTCATGCATGCTTGCTGGAAGTCCAAGCCCCTAGCCCACAAAATCTCCTTTACCCCCTCCTTCCAACCTTTTTGAGGACGACCCCTACCCCGCCTTCCTTCCCCTACAGATTTACATGCTCTCCATGTCATTCTACTTTGATACATTCTCTCTAAATGACCAAACCACCTCAACAACCCCTCTTCAGCCCTCTGACTAATACTTTTATTAACTCCACACCTTCTAATTTCCACACTCCGAATTTCCTGCATAATATTTACACCACACATTGCCCTTAGACAGGACATTTCCACTGCCTCCAACCGCCTCCTCGCTGCAGCATTTACAACCCAAGCTTTACACTCATATAAGAACGTTGGTACTACTATACTTTCATACATTCCCTTCTTTGCCTCCATAGATAACGTTTTTTGTTTCCACATATACCTCAACGCACCACTCGTCCTTTTTCCCCTCATCATTTCTATGGCAAATTCTATGACAAAACATTTTCCTTTGAAATGCTCTGGGAATTTCAGGGGATGATCATAATGAAAAAGCATGGTGACCAGAGGTAAAGGTGGTCATTACTGAGCACAGAGCATAGGTACAGATCATACTGATGTCCAGAGGCAAGTATGGGCATGAATGATGTGTGGGATATTCCATGTCGGCACTCTGGGGTCCCACAACAGAAAAATAACATTATTTTCCAATGCAGTAGTTCGAGAAGTGTGAAAGGAAGAAAATCCATTTTAATTTTGAAACACACAAACACTTAAAGACTGAAATAATGTACTACACTTACGAAGGAGGGGAAGCTTGAGAGGGTGCTGAATAATCTTCCAGCTCTTCATGGTGACGCACTCGAGAGAGAAGTGTTAATTCAAGACAGTCCATGGCCAAGTCCCCTGGTTCTGCTTCACTCAATTCTATGTTGTATGTATTAGCCTGAAAGAAAGTAAATATAAAATTACAGACGGCCATCTTGTTAAAAAATATATATATATATGTATGTTTTCTTGAGCAAGGGGCTAGTAACCCCTTCTCCTGTACAGGTTACTAGGTTTGAAAAGAGAAACTTTTCTTTTTCTTTTTGGGCTACCCAGCCTTGGTGGGATACGGCCGGTTTGTTGAAAGAAAGAAAGTACATGTATATCTTCTTCTTTCAACAAACCGGCCATATCCCACTGAGGCGGGGTGGCCCAAAAGGAAAAATTAAAGTTTCTCCCTTTACATTTAGTAATATATATACAGGAGAAGGGGTTAGCCCTTGCTCCTGGCATTTTAGTTGCCTCTTACAACACGCATGGCTTATGGAGGAAGAATTCTGTTCCACTTCCCCATGGAGATGAGACGAAATAAACAAGAACTAGAAAGAAAAAAGAAGAAAACCCATAGGGGTATGTATATATATGCTTGTACATGTATGTGCAGTGTGACCTAAGTGTAAGTAGAAGTAGCAAGACGTACCTGAAATCTTGCATGTTTATGAAACAGAAAAAAGGACACCAGCAATCCTACCATCATGTAAAACAAATACAGGCTTTCGTTTTACACTCACTTGGCAGGACGGTAGTACCTCCCTGGGTGGTTGCTGTCTACCAGCCTACTACCTTTAATATTTTATTATCTTATTATCACACTGGCCGATTCCCACCAAGGCAGGGTGGCCCGAAAAAGAAAAACTTTCACCATCATTCACTCCATCACTGTCTTGCCAGAAGGGTGCTTTACACTACAGTTTTTAAACTGCAACATTAACACCCCTCCTTCAGAGTGCAGGCACTGTACTTCCCATCTCCAGAACTCAAGTCCGGCCTGCCGGTTTCCCTGAACCCCTTCATAAATGTTACTTTGCTCACACTCCAACAGCACATCAAGTATTAAAAACCATTTGTCTCCATTCACTCCTATCAAACGCTCACGCATGCCTGCTGGAAGTCCAAGCCCCTCGCACACAAAACCTCTACTCTCTTTACATCATCATTCCACCAATCGCTCCTCTTCCCCTCCCGC